CCCTTCAGTGGGTCGCGTGATAAATAAAATGGGTCACGACTAAAAAGGATGAAAAAATAGAAAAAATACCGAAGTGAGAGCAAAAAGCAAAATATAAACAACTCTATTATGTTACACAGCACTCATCTCATAAATCATTGCTAGTTTTTCACTGAAGTAAGCTAATATTATATATATATATATATATATTAAAGACATTTTTATGTTTAACGTTGTTATTTATAGATACAAGTATTTAAGCAAATGCTCTGTTTATGATAAATATTGGCGCGAAGTCTCTTTTGAGAGAGAACTGATATCACTCAATCCGCAACTAGTTTGATGAACAAGATACATAAACTCAATGATAACAGACTATATATATATATATATATATATATATATATATATATATATAAAAGACATATTTTATTTAACGTTGTTATTTTTATAGATACAAGTATTTAAGCAAATGCTCTGTTTATGATAAACAGTATTAAATAACATTTACCGGCCTGAATGTCCGAGAAATTTTCATAGAAAATATTCGTTCTTTGACAGGATTCGAACCTGCATCCTATACGGAACCGGCGTATCGAATGTAAACAAATGACGTCATATATTAAGAAATGGACAAGGTCCGACAATTTATTTATTAAAGACATATTTTATGTTTAACGTTGTTATTTTTATAGATACAAGTATTTAAGCAAATTGTTTACATTCGATACGCCAGAGCAGTTATGAATGTACGAGATTCATGGAAAATTGGAGTTTATAAGCAGTAAATTCGACCTTGTCTACCGAACGCTTCTTTGTAGCCTAAGCGGTAAGGCACGTCAGCGTATATGACGGTTCCGTATAGGATGCAGGTTCGAATCCTGTCAAAGAACGAATATTTTCTATGAAAATTTCTCGGACATTCAGGCCGGTAAATGTTATTTAATACTGTTTATCATAAACAGAGCATTTGCTTAAATACTTGTATCTATAAAAATAACAACGTTAAACATAAAATATGTCTTTAATATATATATATATATATATATATATATAGTCTGTTATCATTGAGTTTATGTATCTTGTTCATCAAACTAGTTGCGGATTGAGTGATATCAGTTCTCTCTCAAAAAGAGACTTCGCGCCAATATTTAGCTACGAAGGTGTACAATGCGTTCGTCTTCGTGGTCGGTGAAAGCCGTTAAGATTGTTGAATAATTCAGTTGCATCTGAAGTCAGGGCTAAAAGTGAAATTCCCAACTCAATGTTGAAGATTTCAGAAATAAGCCTAATGTTAGCCAACCTAGTATATCTTCCATTCCCTTTGTTGATGGAATTATATATCTATACATATATAATTCCATCAACAAAAACATTACTTCAGTCCGATGAAGTCCATCTAGTCGCTAGATTTGGCTGTTTTTTTGGCGAAATTTAAGAACGTTTTTTTTTAACCTGTCATACTTGTGCTACCTGAAGATTTAAGAAACAATCCTAATGATGTATCGTTATATCATTCGATAAAAGAAGAAAGATGAAGAAACAGGAGAACCATCAACATTTACAGATACATTCAAAAATTCAATTTCCGTGAAGGTTGTTTAAGGTGGTAACCTTAGCAAGGAAACGTCGACTTCTTTTAAAACACGTAATAAAATGAAAATAAGAAGACCTTACAATGAGGAATACTTGTAATATGATTGAAACATTAAATATTATTTAGCTTTTTTGTCAGAATTTTCTTTAAATTTGTTATTCTAAAAGTAATAAGTTTATATTCATACAAATAGATACATGCAAATAGAAACATTGCAAATCCAATATGTGCGAATCGTAAGAAATATACATATAAATTGTCGATGCTAAATAAATGAATTTATGAACAGAGTTTGTCTCTTATTTATTACGCGTAGGTATAATAGGTCGCAATGCAAAATGTGGTTCTTGCTGTGGGTAGCAGTAAAAAGAAAACTTTGAAAAACACTGATCTATGGTGTTTGTTATATTTGTTGGCGTATTTAACAGTTTCTATAAATTGTTTTCTGCATCGACCTTTCGTTGGGAGTTTTTTTTTTTTATTAGAGAACGTGCCTATTTTTGTAAAGGCCCAATGTGGTACAAGATGGAAATCTCGAATCAAGACATTGCGCCAACACGTTAAAAGCATTAGAAATGTTCTTGCCAACCTCCGAGAAAAGTCTTTGTGGGGGGGGGATTAAACGTCGCGAAAACGGCTGAAACAATTGGATTGTATTTCTACTTGGAACTTTGTGCTTGGCATCATCATTTGGTACACTCTTCGATTCCAGGGCGAATTGTTGCTATTTTCTGATTTTACAATCGACATTACGAGTTTTCTTCGCGTTCTTTCACGAAAATCACTGATCTATCCGTGACTAGCAACTGGTGTCTGAATTCCAAACCGTATGTAGCCCTGACGAAGACCATACTATAGAACCATTGAAAGGTTTATGGATTTCATAATGAGTCTTTGATCTCCACCGCAGTCGCAATAAGTAGGGGTCAGCATCACGCCAGTGTTTATGTTGCCTCAGAATTTGGTGGCTGAGTGAAAATTTACGATACAAGTAATTTTAAGTATCCTTGAAAGAGTTTTCTTACTACTGGCTTGTAAAATCATAGCTGACTTGTAAAAGAAAAAGCGGTTTCTTTCTTGCCGATATAATAAGCGGAATCCACTTTTATCGGTATTGTAGGTTTGCATAATCAATTATTAAATGTCCAATATTTATCCCTGTCTATTTTTAAGAAATATTTTCGATAGATTTCGGCTGATAAATTCCCATCCCTTAGAATTGAGGCAAAACATCCATTTACCCATTTTTAAGCCGGCAAAAATTATTAGTTCTCGAGTTCTTTTTGACAAATCTGTCATAAAAGATTAATAATTTAAACAACTTACGATTGTTCGGCAAAAAACGAAAATCTCACTCAATCATCTCTTTTATTTACTTTCTCTTTTTATAATCTATATTTAGCATCTTCTTTTATGTGCCGTGTCGCTTTAGGACGTTGTCGATCAAGACTCTCCACAACTTCCTATCTTTTGTAGCTCTTAGTAATGTCTTTTTGCTATTCCCTGTTCTTTATCCATTTACACAAGCTTTTCAGGTAGGTTCACACTCCTCTCTGGTCTTTTGAGCTGGAGGTTTATCCTTTGATTCCTGCTTTGGACTGGGTTTATGGTTCCTTCTAAAGTCTACTCCCACACTTCTAATATCTCCGATTAAACTGTTATTCAGTAATTAAATCTTGACCTCTTCAAGTCTAGAGTTAACTGTTATCCTTCCTGCATAGCCGCAAGAACTTCACTTCTTGCCCTTTCTTACGCTCATACAACTCCACACGGTAACCTTCTGCCATGAGCGGCTCTTGGGCCTTGTATTGGGTGACAATTAGTAAAACACATAAAAATAAAAAATAAGTTTAATCGCTGTCTCCGTTTGCCTCTCTTGACTCCAATATAGCATGTGCGCATCAAATTCTCGAAGCCTTCTCTCCTCATTATTTCTCCCGGAAATTTCAGCTATTCTTTTGTGATTCTAAGTGTACTATGTCTTTCCATTTTTCTTTAAAATTCCTCGTTGCTCACATGCTCAGTCGATGATATTCTTAGTATCCTCCTGTAGAACTTTATCTCTGTTGTCACATGACTCCACTTTATATGTGTGGATGTTCTCCAGCATTTCCTGACATATAGAAAGAGTGATATTACATAGCGGTTCAACACTCTTTTAGGGAATCTTTAAATATAACCAATTCTATAATCGCCTTAAGAAACGAAATTCTTCAGTTAAAATGTGGGTTTGAAATTACTTTCCAATAGTAGCTTGACACAAGGCTACAGCAGCAGAGCATACTAGTAAGCGGTAAATTTACTCATCTTTTAAAATGGTCGACTATCAGAGATTCAAAGAAGAATCGGCAATATTATTGGTCTTAATCTGGCTCCTCAGTTTCAGTCATTTTCCCACTGCCTAAAGTTAGACTACCCCGTGTCTTCTCTATAAATACTTTCATGGTAATTGTCCGGCAAAGATCTACACGATCTCAACGTCTAAACCGGCGGGAGAGTGCAACCCAAGTCAAGCTGTTTAACCAAGGCGGACCTTGACAGACCAATCATCCGACTGCCTGATTCAAACAAAGTTTGCGAGGGAGGGCTTTCTGGTCAAGTAGGCCAAGCTGGATGCGACCAACTTCCGAAGACACCAACGGCGGAATCGGCAAAGATCTACACGATATCAAAACGACGAAACCGACGGAAGAGGACAGCGCTTGTCGGGCTGACGTATCCAAGGCGGACTTTGACAGACCAAGCATCCGACAGCCAAATGCAACCAAGCCTTTCTCAATTCCCTTTCAGTCGCCAATTGTGTGGGCTTCTCCGTCACGCACAGTTGTTCACCAAAATCGAATTAACGCAGCCATCTCCGCCCCAGCCACCAGTAGCGATAAAGGAAACAGGGACAGAGGATGACGATCCTGATGTTCAGATGCGAGCTGATACCGCCAGCGAATTATTCGGATGAGTTATTCGCTTTGATACGTAGATTTTATGAATTTAAGCGCAGTACTAGATGGGTGACGAGGTTTCACCAATTTACAGTTGAGTCGGCTCGATGTAAAATGGCCGACAAGATGAACTAAGACTAAGAATAGATAGATAGATAGATAGATAGATAGATAGATAGATAGATAGATAGATAGGGAGGAAGGGAGGAAGGAATCAAGAAATAGATAGGGGGAAGGAAGGAAGGAAGGAAGGAAGGAAGGAATAGATAGATAGATAGATAGATAGATAGATAGATAGATAGATAGATAGGGATGGAGGGAGTAAGGAAGGAAGGAATCAAGGAATATATAGGAAGGAAGGAACGAAGGAAGGAACAAAGGAAGGAAGGAATAGATAGATAGAAGGAAGAATAGATAGATAGATAGATAGATAGATAGATAGATAGATAGATAGGGATGGAGGGAGGGTGTAAGGAAGGAAGGAATCAAGGAATATATAGGTAGGAAGGAAGGAACGAAGGAAGGAAGGAATAGATAGATAGGGAGGAAGGAAGGAATAGATAGATAGATAGATAGATAGATAGATAGATAGATAGATAGATAGGGATGGAGGAGGGGAAGGAATCAAGGAATATATAGGGATAGATAGATAGATAGGGAGGAGGGAAGGAACAGACTAAGATAGAGAAATAGATTTTTTTTACAGGAACAGGGCTCACACTAACACGCTTTTCTCCCCCCCCCAATGTAACGTGACCTTAGTAGCATGTAATAGGACTACGAGACTGAGTCTTTCATACAAAAAATTATTTAACTTTGTCGGCGTGACGGTGTGCGGTTACGCGATCTTTCTTCGAACGTTGATATCGTGAGGATTTGAGAGACTCTCGCTTTCCCTTTCTCGGGTGGGCCGTTCACATAGTTTCCTCTCGTAAGTTGTCCCGCATGTGCACAATTCCTAAATTCAACTGGACCGTCCTCCTGGTTTCATGTGAGATTCGATTCTGCAGATAGTTGCTATGAGGTCACTTTCCAGTTCAACCGTCTGATGGGCCTGGCACTGTTGATGCTATGACGTGACCCCCGAATGGAAATGCTATTTTGGTGCCTCTTAGACTGAGCCTATTACATATTGGGGTCACAACAGATCAACTCCTCTTAGCACAAATGTCTCTTACTGACATTAAATTCGATTGCGATTGAGATCACTGGTATTTGCTGGCGTGAATCACCTAACACACTAGCATATCAGATAATATGAATTCATTTTTATATAGATAGATAGATAGATAGATAGATAGATAGATAGATAGATAGATAGATAGATATGAACAGACTGAGATAGATAGATAGATAGATAGATAGATAGATAGATAGATAGATAGATGGGAGGGAGGAGGAGGAATCAAAAGAATAGATGGGGGGAAGGAATCAAGGAATAGATAGGAAGGAAGGAAGGAAGGAAGGAAGGAAGGAAGGAAGGAATAGATAGATAGATAGATAGATAGATAGTTAGATAGATAGATAGATAGATAGATAGATAGATAGATAGGGATGGAGGGAGTAAGGAAGGAAGAAATCAAGGAATATATAGGAAGGAAGGAACGAAGGAAGGAACAAAGGAAGGAAGGAATAGATAGATAGGGAGGAAGGAAGGAATAGATAGATAGATAGATAGATAGATAGATAGATAGAAGATAGATAGATAGATACGAAGATAGGGATGGAGGAGGTGTAAGGAAGGAAGGAATCAAAGGAATATATAGGTAGGAAGGAAGGAACGAAGGGAGAAGGAATAGATAGATAGATAGATAGATAGATAGATAGATAGATAGATAGATAGATAGATAGATAGATAGTGTTGGCTAATGTATTCAGCCTGGTTGCTATAGCATCTGTAGTAACTAAAAACAGAAAATAAATTGATGTATAATATTTCATTGTCTCGGCTATTCTATTCAGTTCTTTTATTGCATTTCAAGTTTCTTGTCTATATATAAATGCTCTCGCATTGTTTTAATCTATATACGCTATTCGCTTAAGCCGAAAGTAATTCATCAATTACTTGAGCAGTGTTGACTTGCATTTCCGCCTCACTTGTCGCGTTTGTCATTTTGTCCTGCTGTATGATTATTTTAAAAACGTTTTTATTTATATTTGTTTTCTTAGCTGCAAAATTTATAATTTATGTATTTCTGCCAAGTATATATATATATATATATATATATATATATATATATATTATGAAATGGACATAGTCCGACAATTATTTTGAGACATTTTTTATGTTTATACGTTCTTTTTATAGATACAAATATTTAAATAAATGCTCTGTTTATAATAAACAGTGTTAACGACATTTACCGGCCTGAATGCCCGAGAAATTTTCATAGAAAATATGTGTCCTCCGATAGGAATCGAACCTGTATCTTATAACAAACAGTCATATAGCCTGATGTGATTTACCGATTTAGCCACACAGGAGCTTTTCGGTTTGCATGGTCGATTTTACTGTTTTTAAACTACAATTCTCCATGATTTTCTCTTGTACATTCATATCTGCTCGATGCTTATCCAAATGTAAACAAGTGACGTCACACATTATGAAATGGTCAAAGTCCGACATTTATTTTAAGACATTTAAAAGAGAGTAAAGAGGAGGGCAGGGGATAGTTCAGGGCATCTGGAGATGTCGATTGATATTACATTTGAATAGTTGGAGATTATAGCAGTCAGGGAAACAGTAATAGGAAAGGAATTCCACAGGCGGGAGGTGCGAGACATGAAGGTATTGGAGTAGAAGAGACGGTCACATTTAACCGTTTCAACAGTGAAAGGGTGGGACCGTGATGCCAACCTAGTAGCACGCTTAAATTCATGCAGTCAGAGAACTAGCAAAAATAGCTCGTCGGGGGAATTTACTGTGAAAGTATTTGTATATATGTTAAGGAAAGTTGCACAGCTGTTTACCAGCCAATCGATTTTTACTGCAAAGGATCTTCAGACTGTAAATACTGTTTATTCTTTTTCTTTTTTTTTCTGTCATAAAAAATAATTTTAAAAAAAGTGCTGTACTTACTGTATTTATTATGTACACTGATGACTTTAGTATGTTTATTTCTTTCATATTCTATATATTTATAAGTAATTATATTCAAGCATGTTTGGTTGAATAATCTAGACATATTATGTCTATTAATTTTTAGTTTAAACCTCTCAATTTCTTAGTGTTGTTACAAAACTGGTTAAGAAAGACACCGTAGTTTTTGTTATTTCTTTTATTTCCCCAAGTACTTTCAATCTCATCCAAGATCATCTTCAGGGGTGAACTGCTAAGATAAAAATTAATGTTATTGATAGTTGTGATTTTTTTGTAAATGCGGATGAGACGCGCTCCGTTGTAGTAAATTTACGTTAAGAATATGTAAGGGGGTAACTTAGTTCAATTTTTTTATTATTAATGTTTTAAAAATACTCAACCTAAAAATAATTTTTTTTTTATAATTTGAGCAGCCCAAAACATTGATTTGGTAACATTTTAAAACATTGCTGCTATCCTTATAATTAATTTTGTTTAGTGTTCGTTCATTTTTTTGTATAGACCGCTTCGAGAATTTGAAGTTTTGTTATATATTTTCATGGAAAAGTATACTTGTATTATCAATTAATATTTATCTAAAACGTGAATGTGGACAGGATTTGTGCAATAGAACTTGAATCTAACATGTGTAAAGTAAACCTTCTTGATAATGTCGTCGTAGTGAAACCAACGTATATATTTATGTATTTCTCTGAGATAACAATCCTCCAAAGGACATTAAAACTGATATACAATGTTGTTTTTTTGCAAAACATTAGTTGACGAAGAAGAATTATTGCGGATGACTAAGTTTGTTGCATTAAATTTACTATAGTATAAATTTTATTTTTTACTGGGATCAGTGGAGGATATATTATGTGATTTTTTTATGATTTTTTATCTAAGTAATTATATATATATACCCCTTCTCTTAGAATATATTAGCCATTTATTAGCCATATATATATATGTGTGTGTGTGTGTGTGTGTATGTTGCGTATGTGTGTGTGTGTGTGTGTGCGTGGGCGTGTGTGTGTTTCTATGAAAATTAATAACATCCTGCTTAAATTAAGAAGTTTTTGAAAGGATTTTTGATCCGACATTATTTACTTCAAGAAATTATTCACACTAAAATGATCTTTATAATAAGAAGAAACGGCATCATTAGAAAAAAAAACTTGTTTTATTTCGACTAAATCTTCATTGGCCAGACAGAACAGGATTCACGTTAGTCATAATAACGGCGGATTTTTTTTGTTTTTATTTTCACTATCATTTTGGGTGTTTTTTATTACATATTATTGTCAACTCAGTTTTTTATTTACATATTCATTTGTTTAAAGATTTTCCGTATCCCAAATAGTTTTATCGCCAGCATAGCAGGAACGGGTGACAGGTGTGTAGAACCCCGGTCGTATATTAACCGCAGGGGATTCGTAGATTTCAATGCACTTACGCCTGATTGAATTATCTTCATTTTTAATAAAACAGTACTTTCCAGGTCAAAATTTTAATCATAAAGATGTGGATGTACGTATGTATTACATGTGCGTATGTATGTAGCGATACGGAGACAGAGAACGATTCACATAATGATTTACATGAGTGTACATGTGTCTGCGTGTATTTAAAAGTATCGACTACGACAACAAATCTATATTTATAGACATACCGATATGCATTCATAGATATTAAAAGATTGAGATTGATAGATAGATAGATAGATAGATAGATAGATAGATAGATATGAAAAACCTTCAGATAGATAGATAGATAGATAGATAGATAGATAGATAGATAGATAGATATGAAAACCTTCAGATAGATAGATAGATAGATAGATAGATAGATAGATAGATAGATATGAAAAACTTTCAGATAGATAGATAGATAGATAGATAGATAGATAGATAGATAGATAGATAGGGAATAACATTGGACCCAACAGATTAAAACATATAGTTAAATACTTTATTAGCCATCGACTCGTGACAATTAAATACAAACAGATAGCAATATATACAGATGTATATTATGATATATATGTGTGTTTGTAAAAAAATGCATATGGATATATGTGTGATACTGGGTGTAAATGTAATTTTTAGTGCGTTTGTGTATGTTTACGTGTATCCATGTGTGTAATTGCTTACAAGCATCTGCTAATTTATCGACCACTAATCTGTACTATTTCATACAGAGATTTACGAGCCAGATGCGTACTGCTCCAGTTTTTCTTCCTTGATTTTATATCCAATAATCTTACTTCATCTTTGTTTAGTCTATATAAATTCATATATAACTGAATAAGTCTCTCTCTCTCTCTCTCTCTCTCTCTCTCTCTCTCTCTCTCTCTCTCTCTCTCTCTGTATATATATATATATATATATATATATATATATATATGTATTGGGGCAGTAGATCATTATTTAAACACATATTGTTAAATATAACAGACAATGAATGTCTATTATGTCTGATCATGAGCCGTTCTAATATTCGTATGTTTGCTTTAATTTCGGGTGAAAATAAAGACAAAATCTGTCCAACATTTGGATATTTTTTTTATATCCCAGATCTAAGCTTTCGGCTCACATCAGCCATCTTCGGAGTGGTTATACGGACATTTTAACAAAGATATTCACTATCGATAATTTTGTGTTATGTTGACATAAAAGATTGCTATGCGACGATAACGGTCGCGGAATAGCAGACGCTGTTCGTAAGTTCAAGATGTGGTTCTATGACGTCATGCCACGCGAGAGGCCGAAATATTCACAACAGAACCATATGTCTAGATGCATTGTAATGTGTTGTGACTAATTTGAAATGTAATTTTGTTGAGTGTCTGTTGCATTGTTTTAATATCTGAAGGTTCTTTTTAGTGTGTGTATGTGTGAGTATTATTGTGTTATCAACTAATATCTGTTTAATATTATGTACATGGCTATTTTTATAAGGAATGTTGTTTAACCCTAGAACATTAACCATCAATTAAAGTTACACCACTACTAACCATGGGTATATCATACCCGATTTTGAAAATATCAAAAAAATATTGAATATGAATCTTCATTTGAAATATTTTACATACAGGCACTTCAAACTTTGTCTTTGAGTTAACATTAATAGGAACTGAAAAACATAATATATAGTTAAGAAAATCAGGTACTGAAAATTGTAATTAAAAATAGGAAGATTTGCGCTGGTGTATATTATACCCATGCTTAGTGTTCTAGGGTTAATAGAACTAAGATCAGAAAGGTGACAGGTAAGTCTACGGGGTAGCGTGGTTGTAGTAAAACCAATATATGTAATGGATTTATTATTAGTATCAGAGATACAATCTCTGAACGGGAATGTAAATTGATACACTACATTGATTTTTTGTTTGTTTGTTTTTGTTTTGTTTTTTTTGTTTTTTTGTAGAGGATTTAGTTGTGCTGTTGTAGGGTTATTAGAGACTATGAGGTCAATTGTTTTAAATTTTTATAATATATGACGTGTTTAACTTTATTATTATTAATGGGTTTAACATTTCTACCTATTATGTTTTTGAGTGTTGTTTCATCAGTTTCGTAATTATTATGCATTTTTGGTTGCAATAGTATAAGTTAATAGTGTAATGTTTATTTTGGCATACATCATTATTATGAATCAATTTTGTTATTGGTATTAACTTTATTGAGATACATTTTAGGAAATCCATTATTAAAAGTGTTTGCTTAATATTATGTAATTCTTTATAGAATATGATTTTGGAAGAATATATCATTTGCGTGCGTTGGATTAAGTTCTTTATAACAGCTAATTTATATCGTTGGGGGCATTTATTATTATAATTAAGAAGACACGAGTTAATTGTAATGGGTTTCCTGTATAGAGAAGTAGTATATTTATGCTTACTGGAATCAATAAATACATCAAGGAATGGAATTTTATTATTAATATTAAGTTCTAATGCAAATTCTATATATCATACATATGTAGTTTATTAAAGTCATTAAGTATTTCATTTTCTAAATGAGTCATATAATAATTATAAAAAAGGGACCTAAAGGAGATCCCATCGCAATAACGTCTATTTGAGTATAAATATTACCTTGGGGGGGTCATGAAAAGGTACTTGAGTGGTACATGCTAATAATATTTTTTTTAAAATAGTGGGTTTGATATTGATGAGTTGGAGAAAAGTGTGAATGTATACATCACAGATAATTCAGCAACCCAAATCTAAAGTTTCGTAGACGGGGACTCTAGATATCCACACGTCAAAGGATATCAGCAATTGAGATAGATAGATAGATAGATAGATAGATAGATAGATAGATAATATTAATGGTTAATACACACACACACATATATATATATATATATATATATATATATATATATATATATATATATATATAAAGAAAGAACAGTAAATATATAAAATCCGGTGTTCTTATAGATATTTTTATTTTTACAAAATAGTGCTCAATGTAAATTTACAGAGCATTAATATTATAAATTAATTGATTTAAAATATGGTTTTTTTTTTTACACAGTTCCAACCATGTTTCAAAAAAATAGAAGCTAAAAACCCTGAATTTAATTTTGCAATTAAATTAAAAGCATTAGTTCCATTTCATCTTCATATATATATATATAAATTAAATTATAAATTATATATAAATTAAAAGCATTAGTTCCATTTCATATTTATATATAAATTAAAAGCATTAGTTCCATTTCATCTTCATATATATATATATATAAATTAAAAGCATTAGTTCCATTTCATCTTCATATATATATATATATAAATTTTCAGGAAGATAGAATCCAGGTAGAACTCAATGTCCAGGACAGAGTAAGAATATATTATAAAAGACTCAAACACTAATATTCCATGGTTATAATTTATTACATTGGAATCGTAATTTCGATCCAAAAATTCTTAAGTTTTAATCCCCACCTTCACTTTTTAGGCCTTCCTGTTTTTTTCTTTCGTCTGTTACCCCCCCTCTCTAGAGCTTTCATTTACTTCTCACATTTCGCCCCCCACTCTCATACATACACTCCCCACTAAATTTTATTCCCGGAGTTATTTTTTCATATATATATATATATATATATATATATATATATATATATATACACACACACACACACACAAAAAATATAAAAAACATAATAAACATTTACCGGTCTGAATGTCCGAGAAAATTTCATAGAAAACATTCGTCCTCCGACAGGATTCGAACCTGTATCCTATACGGAACCCTCATTTCGCTTGACGTGCCTTTATCGATTTGGCCACAGAGGCGCGTTCGGTTAGCAAAGTCGAATTTACTGTATTTGAACTTCAATCTTCTAAATTGTCCATTTCAATATATATAATCGACTCTCCCGTCGACATTCGAGGGTCAAGCAGATCAGTTTCCAGGAAACCAACAGCCCGACATCAGCACATGAGATTTGATTATAGTGGTGAAGACCATCCACACTTTTTGGAGGGACGAATACAGAGACCTGGTGCACCGAATGCCACAAGGTTCCCAAACGACCCTCAACAGGTTTTGAATTCAGAGTTGTCCTTCTTCTAGACCAGTTGCCATCCAAGGCTATAGAACCTATTTTACCCATAGCTCGAGGGAGAGTAAGAGGATTCATACCTTTCCCAAGGGTATTAGCACGTAAGTGAATGTAATGGATTCGACTGGAATTCGAACTCGGCTCTGCGATTCCTCAAGCCAAGCCGCTATCCATTACTCCACCGTGCCTCCTATATATATATATATATTATGGCAGAATACAATCGGTCGAAGTTTGAAATGCCGAAAGGCGAACTTGTTTTAGAAGTTGTTGGGTTTATTGTTTTAAAACAATGTGAGATGAGATTGCCTTACCCTATTTGATACATTCAGCCCTTTATATCTCATTTTTTATGCTTTTATGACGTAAAAGTAGTTTCCTTTTTCTATACGCCAAAATGCTATAAAGTAGTATTTACAATGAATTTCATATATTTATTCATGCATGGGACTTAATGTATAAATTATTATTTATCTTCGAAAGTGTGCGTGCGTTTGTGTGTGTGTGTGTGCGCGCGTGCGTGTGCGTGCGTGATTCATGAGTTTTATTGATAGGCCTACTGTGACAAGTCAATACATGCATGATATCCTCCATATATATATATATATATATATATATATATATATAAAAGAGATTTTATATTCATATATATATATATATATAAAAAGAGATTTTATATTCATTTATATATATATATATATATATATATATATATATATATATATATATATATATATATAAAGAGTTTTTATTCATATATATATATATATATATTTATATATATATATATATATAAAGTCACCTGTCCTTTTCTCTTTTCTTTCTTCCATTTTTCCTAAGATTCTATCAGTATTTCTTTCAGATTTCCGATCCATCGATCTCTCGTCTTGTGTCTCTTGTTCTCTCCGAAAAAAAAAAAAAAGCTTCATCGATTATTTTTTTTTCTTTCCCTTCGCCTCCATGTATGATTGAAATATCGAAGCATGTGTTCACCGCGGTGCACTTGTCCCCGGATTCGTCACTCGCAATCCTAAAAAATAACGAATATGCGAATAAGCAGTTCTGGTTAAAATCACAACTGAGATTTATTTTTACAGAAGCGTAATGGTATATATTTTGCAGAACTTCTTGCCAGTGAAATCAGAATCTCAATATAAGCAATTGACGTCCGGCCCTACTTATAACAGTACGATTTTCTCTTCTGTCTCCCGTTGCTTACGGGCCACGAGACCAGAAAAGAATTCTCAGAGTAAGAATAGAAGATCAGTATTTACTTCACTACATTAAAGAAAAAAGGAAGTATTTCATGATGTCTGCAGATTGAACGAGTCACTTTTTACTTTTGGAAAAGGGCGT